GTATCTGTAAGAGTTTACAAACTGATGTTGGGTTAACTACAGGGAAAGGAAAAAAACTGCTTTTCTTCTGATATTAAAGCTTCATAATACACAAACATGGAAAATTGATGAGCTGATGATAGGAGGCTAAAAAAGTCAGCACCATGAAAGCACCATGAAGGTACTTCCAAGTACTCCATTTAAAAAATATTGCTGTTGTTGGAACAAAACCTTGTATCTTCAATGTGGTAACTTTACAGGAAAAGGAAAAACCTAATTTAAATTTAATGTAAGTCAATGGAACCAGACCCTCCCAAGTCATTTTGAGTTATTTCCTTTGGTTCGTTCATCACGAAACCTACAGACAGAACAGGCATTTTCGAATTATGTCAAAACCTGAAAAATGACAAAAATTGAGATATGAAGTTTTGTTCCAACAGCAAGAATATACAGTAGTGCATTAACAATCATGCTAAAGCCCAGCCGCTCCTTCAGTGTGTGCTGCTGAGATAGAATCCGTTTAGTTTTAGGTGTTTTTGGTCTTGGTGGTTTCAGCGCCAACCTCATCAGAGCTTAGCAATACTCAGATATTATTCTTATTGTCTGATAACAAAAGCATGAAAAAAGACAAAGCTTCCAAACACTAAACAGAGAACTAAATACTAACAAATACTTGAGTATTAAAATTATTCATGCCAGCCCTAACAAAAAAAAAGTTTTATTATTCCAAACCAGCCAAGGGAAGTCTTTTTGTTATGGCATTTAAATGTGCTAACACTAAAACTAGAACCAGTGCAGAGGAACTGCTGGCCTTTATTTTTCTCCCTCACTTTCCATAACACAGTTTAATGAATACCTGAATGGTGATTTCAGTATTTGAAAACCAGCACCTGGAACAGTTAACCAAGCACTCGAATCTCCATGCACACCCTACTTGCAAGGATATGTAGTGAAATAATTCTGGAGTCTAGAAAAACATTCTTCAGAACTAATAAGGAAAAATGAACAATACATAAATGATACCTTTTTTTGTAGAGCTAAAAGTTAACCTAACAGAACAAGACTGTATTTTAACTCACGCTTTACATCATCCCAGAATATGGAACAGTGAATTCTCTACCAATTCATCTTCTCAATGAATGAGCCATGAGAAGCTCCTGTCAGCAGCCACTACAAGTCATCACAGTAGGTGATGTGGCTTTCTGACAGGCAGGACTATTATCACCGCAGAACCTGTAATCAGTCAGACAGAGGAATTCATATCATTTATTAACAATGATAATTTAGCTAGCTGGCATTTGGTGGAAGTCTCATGTTACACCAACAGGGTTGGTCAACATGTCATTTAGCAAGACTTCAAAATACTACCAGTAGGTATTTCAGAGGGCAGATAAGAGAAGTTGGGAACCTTTCATAAAGGGGTGAAAAAACACTGCTTTTATATTTTGGTGTTGAGGTCATGAAGGGATAGAAACTACTCGAGCACCTTCAAAGGAAAAAGGAACATACTACTGAAATATGAGCACAATTCAGCTCAGTTATTTTTAACAGATCAGTACAATTCAGATTAAGCCAGCACAAACCCTGGGCCTCATTCTCCAATATGAGTTTTTTTCTTAAATTTGTTCTTAAGAAATGTCCTAAGAAAAAGTCATGACGTGTTCTTAAAGCGCAGAACTGTTCTCACCTTTGTGCTCTTGAGTGAGCATAGATTCTGTTCTTACCTAAGAACAAATCCCAAATTGGAGAACACTGGTAAATGCCAGAATCTTCATGAAAACTGCACAAGTGGGTTTTGAGAAGAAATTTCTTCTTAAGAATGGTTGGTGAATGAGGCCTGTTATTTTTTTCTTCTGACTTACTGCAAATCTATAAATTCCATTTTTTAAACTCTAATGTAGTCATTTCTAACTTTGTCATTCCAAGTCCTAAAGGAAGCAGCATCATGGATCCTTACTTTCCTACCCTGAGCGGCTAGGAAAAGCGAGTGAGAGCTTAATTAAATGCAATCGAGCAACTGCAGAGCATCTGGCGTGACAAACCCCAGTGTAAACACAGCCCAGTGGTAGCCTCTGGTTCTTTTAGCTAGAGAGCATGCAGGGTCACATCACCTAGATGGCAGGCCAGATGATGGCCACAGCACATTAGACACTGACAGTCAGCTTTCATTAGACAAACAATCTAAACAAACAAGCGCTTCATAATTGCAGTCTTGGGGAAGTTTTTGGCTGCTGCGCATTGCCAAATGAATGTAAGCTTGGCCAAGTTCTGAGAGAGCACAAGGGAAGAGTAAAGGCACACTTTCCAACAGCACACAGTGCGGCTGGTACTGATCAAGTCCAAACGTCTAAAGGGACTGTATGTAGCCTAGCAGGTTCACTAGATGAATCTGTCCGATTTCACACCGTAATTTATTACCAACGCAGCCAAGCAGCATAGTCGGCCACACAAAAGCTCAAGGGTCCTTAATAATTATTTTCTAACCAACACTGCCAAAACGAGTTTTAAATAATCCTCATATTTAGCCTTGTCATTAGACGTGTGCCACTGCACCCCATCCAGCCACCTTTATCACGTTAAATTCCACTATGCAAGCCTTTATCAGGCTTCTCCCACCACACAGCATAAACGAACGTCTCTCCAGTCCAGCTATCTCTCCCTCTCTCAACCACAGATACAACACGGAGTGCAATCTGGCAACCTCCATGAATCAGCCAGCACTGTTAATTATGCACCCTGAGGAACAGAATTGATTAGCGAGGCCCTCAAACTGATGTAAATTGTTATTCAGGCCTATAAAAAGCGTGGGCCTACACACCGCCGCACAGTCACATTCACAAGGCAGGGTCGTTATTCAGGACTCACGCTTACTCTCTGTGCCAAGTTCTTGGAAGGCTGCTTTGACCTTCTTCCTGTGAGGCCTGGAATTTACAAGGACTGAGCGCCGGACCTTGGGAAGTGGAATGTGAACGGGCTCGCTTCCGACAGGCTCTGATTACAGGGTGGGTTAATACAGCTACGCATGAACCTGCATGTTGAAAGTGCCGCCCCTGTACCTGTTTTCATCAACAATTTTACAGCACAAGTGCTGATATGGGATCAGATTCCATCCATGCTTACATTCACAAAAAAACACCTCAGGCAAGCACACAGTGTATACCAGCACGGCACCGATGTACTAGATTACACCAGAGCGCCTTTGTAATGCCTTATAATAACCATGAGCTTTTATTATCAGTGCTATGGCCCAGTGAAAAGTAACACTCCCGTCACAAACCCCTTTCAAATTTAACAATCGGCATACCTCAGCATAAATGGTTTTACATTAAAGGAAAAGAAAGTCGAATGTACAGCTAAAACATTTTCACCACAGTCACTGCATATTAGCTAAAGTTAATCCAGCAGGAGCGTATGCTGTTATTACTTCAGTGTGTTTGTGTGTGCATATGTCCTCTTAGGAGCGCAGGGAACTATAACCAGGTCACGACCCTGGAGTATCTAACTAAGTTATAAAACCTTAACAGAAAGCCCCTTCCAGGTATCAGTTTAAATATTACTCTGAAATCCCCTCACGCCCTGAAAAACATGTATATCTTCTGACTGTAACCATAAAATCCATGTTCCCATTCCATTCACAAAAACAAGTGCAGCTACAGTTGAGCCAACACAAAGTAGTGAGTAACACGCTGTAGACCAGAGCTTTTCATTTGATTTGGCACAAAAGAAAGTTGTCTTAACCCCACATCCTCAGAAAAAACATTCTTATACTATATCTAACGTAATAAATTCATATTTTAACTTAAAAAATGTAGTAGCGCTGAAATGCAGCTGCAGCATAGACGTATTTTAGCAACAAATGCAGTGTATGGCTATATATATGTATGTGTGTGTGTGTGTGTGTGTGTGTGTGTGTGTATAATCACTGTCCAAAGAAAAACATGCATGTTCATTTTTGTTGCTTTCTAAATCATTTGAACACAGTAGCTGTCCTTTACATTATGTAAACATTTCATGATGAATGACCAATAGAAATGCCCCAGAATCACTTGGAATAAAATGTTTTTGGATTAATTTACATTGAAAGTTAAGACAGTTTTGCCCTCTTCTGTAAACTTACCATTTTGGAGATGCATGTTTTTCTTTGGACAGCGACGATATATGAGAGAGAGAGATACATAATATATAAATACACATACATACATTTAGAGAGAGAGAGAGAGAGAGAGAGAAAGAGAAAGAGAGAGAGAGAGAGAGAGCGAGCAAGAGACAGGGAGAGAGAAAGACCGAGAGAATAAGAAAGGATTCATGCAAAGTGTCATAAATGCACTCAAATGTCTCTTTGAGTGGTCATAGTTCTTTATCTATTGTACACAAGCATTTGCTTTACTACTGTATATTTCAAACAGTGCACTTTGCCCCCCCAAAGACAAAAGTTTGGGCACCCCCGCTTTAGCTTCTTTAGACAGTGTAGCTGTTTGACTTTAGACCGATTAAACAGCATCAGGTCTATTAGAGCTCTTCTTCTCTCCTCTGCGAAAAACTGTTCGAACTGGAGAGGCCAGATGGGCGGCCACAGCGCTGCTGGACATGAATGACAATGTAGGCAATCGGAGCATTTGGCGAAAATTTCATGCGGGTCAGTTTATTTTGTTTGTTCACGGAGGCTGAAGAGAGAAACACGGACAGACTCCTCCGTCAAGTTTGGCGGAGTCGAGTGAGAAAACGAAACGTGAGCCAACTTAACCGCTGGGGAAGCCGCGCGAGCGCGCGCGAGAGACAGACGGGAGGAGAGAGAGAGAGAGAGAGAGAGAGAGAGAGAGAGAGAGAGAGAGAGAGAGAGAAAGAGAGAGAGACACACACACACACACACACACACACACACACACACACACACACACACACGCTGTTGTGATTGTTTCGTCTCGCGCTGGCCCTTCATTAAGTTTTCTCTCCGTCGCACGCGCACAGTGCTCGTGTAGAAATCCTCAGCGCAGTGTGTGTGTGTGAGTGTGTGTGCTCACCTCAGTGCAGTGCAGGGCAGGGCGGCCGCTCCGCTCTTCCTCGCCGCGCTGTGTGTGTTTAATCCCGCTCCGAGAGCGCCAGCGAGAAGCGCCGCTCACGCACACACTCCGCCATACTGGATTCAGGCGGACAGATCACGTGCCCATCTCCACATTTCCTAAAGAGGCGGGGTCACGGAGAGGCCACGCCCCCTCTCTCACACTACGCTTTAAAGGTGCAGTCTGTGATTCCCGTGAACCCCTGACACCCACGCAGCGCTGTACTGTGTCTATCAGCCAAAGGGGGCTGATACAGTCGGGGGAGTTTGTAGTTCTTTTATTTTAGGTTACAGCTGCTCTGTGATCTTCACTCAGAGGAAGGCAGAAGGGATTAATCTTCAAAAGTAAATACGCATAGAACGCATATACCATCTGCAACTCCCCAGCGTTAACACGGTCACAAACCACACGGTTTTACATAGATTACATTTAAATTTGCATATATTAAAATAATTTTTCACACTAAAGGCGTACACATTTATTTAAAACATGCATTTGAAGGCTGTGTCTTTCAGCTTGGCAGGAGAAAGCTGTACAATTTGCATGTTATATAAATTATATTTAAAAATATTATACAACACATATATAACACTGAAAATGCTTGTATTTTGCATTTTTAAATTTAATACAAAGTTTTTCGAAGAATCGTAGAATCTTTGAATTTCAGAATGTTTTAGAATTTGGTGCGTCCTTTTTTTCCTTTTCATGAAAGTGTGCGCTCAAGCTGGCATGGACTACTGATTAATAGATAAAATACACCAGAGGGTCATCTAAACTTGTGTTTAATGGAAGGAATAAGACTAAAAAAGCACTGACTTTTTGTACAAAGGCCTTAACATGGTAAATTTCACAAATTTGCTTCAATTTGTACACACACACACACACACATATCTTCTAAGCCGCTTATCCTTCTGGGTCGCGGGGGGAGCTCGAGCCTATCCCAGCAGTTATTGGGTGGAAGGCAGGATACACCCTAGACAGGTCACCAGTCCATCGCAGTTTAATTTGTTTAGCTACCTTGAAATAGGGCAGAATTAGAATAGTTCTTCTTCATTTTAATTGTCAGAACTTTTCAAGACTGTTTTCAAGACAATTTTTCAAGACTGTTTGTTGTTTGTTTCCAGGTTTAAATGAAAAAAATATATATATATTTGGTCTGTGATTTTGGACTCCACTGTGTGTGTGAGATTTGTGTCTGAGAATGATCCACCACCCAAAATTATGCCTGCTCAGTGGTGGTTTTGTGGGGGTCCTGACTATTGATGAATGGGGTAAAGGAGGGCTACAAAGTATGCAGAGAAACAGATGGACTACAGTCTGCAACTGAAAAACCAAAGTGCACCTATATGGTAAGTGAAGCTGATAAAATAGACAAAGAGTGTAGATACAAGTTAGATGTACCTAATAAAGTGGCCAGTGAGTGAATCAGGCCCAGCGTTGAAGGATCATTTAGTGGAGCAATGCAACCAGATTTCATGCCCCACTAAATCCAATATGTTTTATACAAGCTTTCACAGCGTCACGCTGCAGAAAAAAAAGTGAAACTAAACTTTGTGCATGCTGCAGCTCCTAGCAAAGCACGTCTGGTATAAAAGACATCGATCAACACAAGAGGGTTTGCATGTATTACTTTGTATTGGCTGCATTTTAGGGACTGTTTATTGTGGGAGGATGAATAAGCAGTGAGATTTCTTAAATAGGCATAGCTTTGGTGGTTTGCTGTAAATGTTCAAATGTGGCTCTCATGATGATTTTCTCATCATGATCATTTGTAACTCAAGCATATTCATCAAGAGAGATGCTTATGCATGTATGGTCATACAAGGATTAGCCCCCCACATATACATTTACACTTTAGACACTTTGCCTTAGCTGAATGGGACTCTGGGAGGTTTACAAAGCTTGTGTGTGACTCAGTGATTTAGTGACTTATGGCTTCACATAGGGTTTAGGAACATGGATGAGCCAGAGCGCTCCTGTTTCGATCACACTGAGGGTACCAGGGCTGTTGATCTTGTGCTGGAGGGCTTCAGGTTCAAGTGTCCATCTTGCTGAGCTTTTGAACATGGCACTTAATCGTAACCTGGCCCAAGGGAACGGCAACATCCCTCTGAAAGAGAGCAAGGCCCGAACATAAATAAAGGATTTATATAAAACCTGTTTCTCAGGTTGCTCAGCCTGGTAGTCCAAGGATTATAAGGTTTCATTCAGTGATTTATGACGTCCAGTTCAATAGGATATGTAGTAGACAAGGCTTGTCTTCTCAGGCTACATGCACTTAGTGAAGAGTAAATCCTGAATAATATTGGAGCCCATGAAAGGTGTTTTATGAGATTTCTTAGTTAGCCAGATGCCTGAGGCAGAATGTCAAATCTGCACTTGAGTCTTGATTTTTTGTCTTTAAACTGTTTTGAGTTATGTTTTATTGATGAACTTACAAGGTGAATAGGTAATTTTACTGCCTATTGTTGGCAGGTCTTAAAGCACAGTATCACCAGAAGAGCACTCAGCCAGTACTGGGATTTGAACTCATGACCTGGTTGCTGAGCTATAGCTCTTACCACAGACCATTTCACAAGCAAAGGCCATCTGCTGGGTAATTAAACCCCCATGAGGAAGATGAAGTTAGTCTCAGACCAAAATCAGTTTTTCACCTCTTTACAGTTATTAAAGTCACAGGATGTGTTATTAATATTGGCCCCAGGTGACATTTTTTCATTTCTGAAAGTTCTTCATGTTAATTTTAGTTGTGCAAAATTAGTTTTTAGTTGTGCAAAATTAGTACTGCTCCGTTCCTCATGAATCAATTTGTGAGAGCAGATAGGAAATCTTCCATAATTAGAAAATCAGTTGTGCGTGATGATATTTCACAGTCTTGTTGCTAAATTGTCTCCAAGGACGTTAAAATGTCAAATGAATGGCAAATGCCAAGCATGTGCATAAATTTAATACCTCTCAAAAATATGGACAAACACTTCACATTTGTTCATTCATTCATCCATTCATTAATTAACTATTCCATTCATTCATCCATTAATTCATGAACGAATGAATTTGTTTATTCATTGATTCATTTATTTGTAATGCAATAGTAATAGTGCCATTCAATATTAATTATTATTTATAGTAATGATGCATGTGTTTGAGTTGCTATGTGGACACTCCAGAGTTTTCTGTTTAGCAGCCATTCCAATGGCTGAGTGACAATAATGACTATATTGTAGCCAATTTAATTACCTTAATTATTCTCCAAAAAGCTCTAACACATCATAAATGGACCACTCAAGTTAACACTGCCAAGTTTCAGATCGACGAAATAACAGCATATTATTCCTGAAAACAAAAGCCACCAACAAGTTCAATTAAAAAGAGCGAAAACAAGACAATGCCCTGTTTTTGTGATACCTTTTCTGTTGACTTGTTTTTAGGAGAATTCCAATCACTGTTATCTGCAGAAAGAAAACACTCTGCCGTGCACTGATAAAAGGAATGAAGACTCCTGTTGATAAAGTCTGACTCTTCAGTGGTGAAAGCCGGCCTGCACTGGCCAGGCAGAGTTGACTGATGCTGTGTGACTTTCTAACACAAACACGAGCTGACAGAGGCGGCTGACACTTCACATTCATACATCCATACAGACACCTACTGTCCTATCAGTCACCACACAAATGCACACACATACACACTTACACATACATGCACAGATAGTCCAGTTCGTTTTAGGCTGACATGGCAAACCTCGTCTGCACATTGCAATTCATAAAGCATGAAACAGCAGTTTCAGTGGAAATGGAAAAGATTCTACAATCATAACTCTCAGGTTTATATGTACAGACTTGTTAATGATGTTTGATATTACCCAATGTTTTGAATAAATCAGTTTTACACAATTTTACACACTCCAATTATAGCCAGTCAGCTAAGACAGGTGTCTGACTTTTGCTTCTTTAGTGTCACATTGGAGCTACGACGCTAATGTAGACAACAAGTAATGGGCGTTTTTACTTGACCTATTAGCATCTCCATTTCTAACTTTTTTATCTATACTTGTGTGCATTTTTATAGATAACAGTATGCCATACAGTGTCAGAAACCACATAAACAATCCCAGAGTGGGTAATCATGAGAGTTGTCAGAATTCCCAGTGGGCCAGTAATGTTTTGGGCAGGTTACTGTGATCCTGCATATAGAAATCCATGCATATTAGCACAACAATGCACAGACAAACTGTGAACATTACAAAAAATGTATAATTACAGTGATTTAGGAGTGCCCCTCTCCTCAAATGGTACAGCCTGGGTTTGTAGATTGGGCAGCAAATAGCTTGTTCAAAGTTGGCTTGGTGGTATGATTCTGGGCAGGTTGACATAACAGCATAGCTGTCAGGTTTCAAGCTTTTACTGTGGTCTCACAGCTGTGAATGTAAATCTCACAGGTTTTCACAGTCTCAATATAAAATAAAATTCTGGTGCCCTATGCAGCATCATTACAGCACCAAGCCAGACTCATATATGTATTTGGATTACACACCCAGCGTTATTATACTTCACGTTAGAGAGAGTGCTGATTTTGCATGCAGACATTTAAAAAGCCAACCAAAACAGATGTTAAGCAAAATCATCAAAGCATCAAAGTGGTGTTCATATGCAATAGAAAATCCCCCTGAATGCAGCTTTAAGTTTGATAGATCTTGAACTCAACTCTAGACAAACAATGCACATTTTGTAAAGCACTGGCATTTCACAGCTGTTCGACATTACAAAATGGTTTAACGCAAGCTGTGTGCTCGTACAACACAGTTCAGCATTCAGGACAAATTAATATAAATGCACAGATTTGTGACTGAGTTCAATGAACAATATATGTATCAGCTGCCTGAGCAAATAAATAAATAAATACAATACTGGCAGACATATTTATAAGCAATGACAATATTAATTAGAAAAAAAGCTCAAATTGTATTTACATAGGGCCTAAATAATGAAAGCCAAGGCCACAGGGTTGGGTGGGACTGAGGTAGAGGGCAGGTTGGCTTACAGATTTTAGCGTATTGTACAGGTTTTCTTTCACCCAC